TGATGGGTTTTTATAATTTTTTGTTGCAATTTTTAATTTAATTGATATGGAGAATGAGGCCTTATTAAGAATAAAAGTGTTTTGTCTATTTCTTCCAATACATACTTATATGCACGGAAGTATTTTATTTTATTTTATATCATGATGAGTTACAACAAAAATCTATTATTCATACAAAATATTGAAACACAATTATTCAAATATAATCATTTCCTCAAACGGTGAGCTAAAATTAAATTCATATACATTCAAATAATGAGTGTTTAGGTCATATGATTATACCTGAAGTATCCCATTCATGGTGTATAGGGGCTTTTATAATTAATTGTTAAATTCAATTTATTAACTTTAATACCCAATCTGGGGTATATAACTGTACTGAACATAAATTGCTGAATTTGTGTATAAAACACTTAATTAGTCAATGAAAAGTTCAAAGAGTTTTTAAACAATAAACAAATTAATTATATTTTAGATTCCCGATAAAAAAATAAGAAACTTGAAAATATAAACAAAACATTATTGACAACAATACTAAACTCATCCTTTCTTAAAGTCCGGATCAGTCTTTTTTATTAGTGCATATGCTATTAGCCCAATAAATATTGCCCATTTAAACCCACTCAATCAACAAAACTAAAACCTACGGAGTATATAATGTTCCTTGCCTATAGTTGTTCGCTTTGATCCTTGCACCCCATTGAGAGAAGTAGAGAACCACCGCTTCTGGTAATTTCATAAAGCAGAAGTCGGATCGGTATATTGACTGTCGTTGCCTTCCGATCTGATTCCGCCTGAAATCCATCATTATTGTTGGCCACTTAGCCAACACTTCTGGTCGTGGGTATTTTCTGTTGTTGGAATAATTCCCTAGCTGAACACTCAATGTTTATGATGGGTAAGAGAACATCGAAAGATCTGCTTTAAAAGTTTTGGGTGTACCCATTTCATCTTTATCCTTGACTTTAAAGTTTTGGCATACCTATCACTTATCATGTGTGTATGTGTGTTCAGATTTGTTTATATTCATTTCCACATTCACTGTTTATCAATCACTTTGGGTTGGTAATTACTACTACTGTTAAATACTCTTTCAACAATAAATTACATTTTCAAAGCTCAAGAAAGAGTGAATTTGTATTTAAAGTCCAAAGTGTATCTGATTTTGAAGAAATAGTTTATAACCAAACTGTTAATTTTTTTTAAACAACCTAAATTTGATTTGGATTCAAAGCTACGGAGTAAATTTTTTGTTAACCTGCTTTTACTTGCATGTTGATATTTATAATTGTGTCTGCCATTAACTCACTTTAAATTATGTATAACCTGGTCGATAAATTTTAAGGCATGTAACCTGCTAGAGCTTTCAATCTATTTGTACATAACTGGTCCTACTTCGAAATTTTCTCCTACTGGCAATAAAAGAATTCCACATCTAGGTCTTCGCGAGAGATTTAATCCTGTGAGCAAGTTGTGTACCCAGTCAAAGTTGTGTTACCAACTCCTTTGTTAAATCTGATTTAGAAAATCTGTTCATACATGGTGTGATTAATAATATCAACAAATAAGAATTACAGTATTGAAACCCAAAAACTTTTAAAACCTTGATAGCCACTGATCGTTGAAGTGTCCCCTCTCCTGAAATGTGATCAAACTTCCGGCACCCATACAACTGTTACTTTCCATTGCGTGGCAATGTTATGTGATGTTCTCGGTTCCTAATAGCTTAAGTTGGACACATTTATACTACAATTTTTGAGGTGCTTTGAACTTGTACTGCAAATTACCCACTGGACAATATCTTGCAATGACATGATATTGTAATAGACAACACAATGCTCGAGATATTCGTACTTCAGAATCTGAGTGAAAAAGATTTGCTCTGTTGCAAACCCACTGGTTAATAACATGAACTAAGCTGAAGCACGCATTATTAAAGTTGAATGGACAACATAGTACTGATTTATACAAACCATTTCAAATTTTTTAATAAGTGGAGAGAGCTAGTTTCTTGAATAATTCAATTGGAACACGCAACATCATTATAAAATTATAAAATCAAGTACAACAGTCTCATCCATTGTGCAGACTGCAAAGCACGTATTCAATTAGCAATGTCGATCCTGGTAGTTTGAACGGGAAACTCTTCCAATCTTCCACTCCGTTTTGTATATAGGAAGATGATGTTTTTTTTATTTTGAGTTATTTTTTATAGCAGTGACTTTTTAGTTTGATCTAGGTAAATATAATACTCTGTACTGGTTTTCAAGGACGTAGCGGGCCACACATGGGACCGAAGTGGTATAATGTTTTATATACACATTTTTATACGCTTTTTATTTAAAATTAAGAGTGAGTCCGGAAAATGGTATAACCTCAACCTCTATTGGTCTAGATTGAGTTGCTTTATTTTTGTTACCTTCCAATAAATTTTATATTATGCCTATTATACTGTTACGTAAATATGAAATTATATGTTCAAAATTGTTAAACATAAAACAAATGTCGAATTTTGTTTCTAGTATGTCTGTATGTTTAAGATGGTCAAATTTAATTTGGTCTAGTTAGTGAAAAATTGCAAATGAAACAATTTTTATTTTTATTTTGACCGTCTCATTTCAACAACAAAATTCGACATTTGTTATTCAAATTTTGATGATAAAACAATTTTGTGCATAATCTAAAAATTGTAATCTGTATGTTATTGCTGTGAAATGCACATAAGATGTGATCAAATCGGCGGCAAGATTCAAATGGAACATGGACCGGCTGCCCAATCCGTTATTGTCCACCTGTAAGTCAAAAGACACCCCCACACCAGTCACCCTGGGTGGTGGCTAGGGCTGAGCAAAACCGACCCTACCCGAATAACCCGATCGGGTGAACCCGATTTTTTGTGATTGGGTCGGTTGACCCGACCTGAACCCAGCGATCCGACCCGCCCACCCTATACTTTTTGGGCCGACACCCAGCGGGTAGGGTCCTCCTAATCCCTACCCGAACCGCCCGAAAACCCGACCAAGCCTAAGCCCATTACCCAACTCCCCAACTACCCAAGCCTATAAGGCCATTACCCAACTCCCCAAGCCCATTAGCCCACTCCCTTAGTCCCTTTCCGGCTTTCCCTTATCCCCATTTCCCTTCGCCGGTTAACCACTTAACCCTAACTCACACTCTCAGACTCTCTCTCTCTAACTCTCTAAGCGGGTAACCCTAATTTGGTCTGACTTCTCACTTCGTCGGCCGCCGTTGCCGTCGTTGTAGGGCTGTAGGCCTGTAGTCCTCAACCGAGTGGAAGCCTTCATCTCCTTGTAGGGTTTACAGTCTCTACTCTCTAACCTAGTGGAAGCCTTTCATCTCCTTCGTCTCGAGCCGTTGAGGTATAAAATACTTATTCCGTTATTCGTATTATGGTAAGTTTAGTCCTTGATGATTGATGATGCATGGATGTTCTGAGTTGTGATTAGTCTTGTGATGTTCGTATATTTGTGAAACTTGCATGTACAAATATGTTCGAATGTTCGGTTATCCACTTATCCTGTTGTCCCTGTTAATTGTTGATGTATATTATGATGCATTCAGAATTTCAAATCTGTTTATTTGAAATATGAATGAAGTGTGGAAGCTAATCAAGCTATATATTCTATATTCATGTGTTGCCTACTGAGTACTGACTACGGTTTTCCAGTTGTCCCTTTTTCAACTCTAGTACTCAAACGAGTACAAAGAGTGAACTGGGTTCTTCAGAGTCTGTAGAGAAGTGAACAAGCAAAGTGCTTTTATCCTTCTGTAAATCAGCTTGCTGATTGTTCCAGACTTACATATTATGGTTATTATTTGTGAGATATGAACTCTGTGGAAGCTCTTACTTACTGCATATGTACAACTCTTATTCATGTGTTGCGTACTTGCCTTATCTGTGAGGTATGAACTCTGTGGAAGCTTAGTATACACATATCAATATATCATGTGTTGCTTACTTGCTTACATTAGATGGACCCTGAAGAATGTGTGACCTTTTCTACATCTGGATCTCAACCTCCTCTGAAATATGAATGAAGTTTGGAAGCTAATCAAGCTATATATTCTATATTAATGTGTTGCCTACTGAGTACTGACTACGGTTATCCAGTTGTCCCTGTTATGTTGTTTGTTGTACATAAGTAACATAACTGCCTTATTATTTTGATGAAGAAGCCTTTTTCAACTCTAGTACTCAAACGAGTACAAAGAGTGAACTGGGTTCTTCAGAGTCTGTAGAGAAGTGAAAAAGCAAAGTGCTTTTATCCTTCTGTAAATCAGCTTGCTGATTGTTCCAGACTTACATATTATGGTTATTATTTGTGAGATATGAACTCTGTGGAAGCTCTTACTGACTGCATATGTACAACTCTTATTCATGTGTTGCGTACTTGCCTTATCTGTGAGGTATGAACTCTGTGGAAGCTTAGTATACACATATCAATATATCATGTGTTGATTACTTTCTTACATTAGATGGACCCTGAAGAATGTGTGACCTTTTCTACATCTGGATCTCAACCTCCTCTGAGTCAAGAAACAGTGGTGGAAAGTCAAATTCCTGAGCCTAACATTACCAATGAGCAGACTGCACCACCTGCTGTTTCTGGACAAAAGAGAAAAGTGGTTGACAAAAGATCTAAGATTTGGGATCACTTTGATGAAATTAAGGATGAAAAGGGTGTGGTTATTAAGGGGAGGTGCATATACTGTGCAAAAATATACTGTTGTCACTCTAAGAAACATGGAACTTCCTCCATCAGAAATCACATGCTTAATTGCATGAAAAAACCCCATGCTAAAGACACTAGACAAGCCCTATTAACCTTCCAGCCTGTACCTCCACAGACAGGTGAACCATCTGGAAAGACTGGGGTCATGGGAACTTGGGTATTTGATCAACAAGCTATTAGGAGAGCTCTAGGTGAAATGCTAATCATTGATGAGCTTCCTTTTAGATTTGTAGACAGACAAGGTTTTAGGAATTTTGTTGCTGCAGCCTGTCCTAGGTTTCAAATTCCTTCTAGATGGACAATTGCTAGAGACATTTTTCAAATATACCTTGATGAAAAAATGACTGTAAAAAGGAATTTTAGGGAACAAACTCAGAGAGTTAGTATAACTACTGATACATGGACCTCTATTCAGAGGATAAATTACATGTGCATTACTGCTCATTTCATAGATCATCAGTGGAAGCTCCAGAAAAAAATAATTTCCTTTGTCCCTGTCACCTCTCACAAAGGGGAGTACCTTGCTAAAGCCCTAGAGAATTGCTTACTTGATTGGGGTCTGAAAAGTATTTTTACGGTGACTGTTGATAATGCTAGTAGTAATGATACAGCTGTTGGTTTTTTCAAGAAAAAATTAGTAGCCTGGGGTGCTTCTTCTGTAAAAGTAAAGTATGTTCATATGCGTTGCATTGCGCACATCTTGAACTTAGCAGTACAAGATGGTCTTAAAGATTCAGACACTTCAGTCATGAGAGTTAGGGAAGCTGTTAAGTATGTTAGGAACTCACCTGCTAGGCTTCAAAAGTTCAAAGATATATCTGATTTGATAGGAGTGGAAGCCAAGAGTGGTCTGCACCTGGATGTTCCAACTAGGTGGAATTCCACTTACCTGATGCTAAAATCTGCAGTTTTTAATGAGAAAGTGTTTGAAGCCTATGAGGAGAATGAATCTGCATATAGTACTGATTTGGGTTCTGACATGCCTGATGTTTCAGATTGGATTGTTGTTGAATCTTTTGTGACCATTCTAAAACATTTTTATGAAATGACACTAAGAATTTCAGGCTCACTATATGTTACTTCCAATACCTTTTTTTCTGAAATTTCTGACTTGTTCCTTGTCCTCAAAGATATGGTTGCCTCTCCAACTGCTTCTGTCAGTGCCATGGGGAGTACTATGAAATCCAAACTAGACAAGTACTGGGGTGATCCTGAAAAGATGAACTATCTAATCTTCTATGCTAATGTCTTAGATCCTAGGGACAAGTTTGAGTATATGCCATTTCAGCTAAATGCTTTATATGGTGATAAAAAAGGTGCTGCTTTTTTTCTAAAAGTGAAGTCATGTCTAACTGAGTTATTTGTTGATTATGTTTCAAGTTACCCTGACTGTGTTGGTGGAAGTTCTAATACAACTTTTACTTCTGGAGCATCTATGGAGTGTGGTAATTCTGAAAATAGGCCTGTGTCCAGGTTTAAGGCTGATCTTAAAAAGAAGAAGCTTGAGAGTGGTCAGGTAGGAGTTAAAAAATCTGAACTTGATATATATTTAGTTGAGTCCATAATTGAGGAAGATGGGGACTTTGATATTCTAAGATGGTGGAAGTTAAATAGTGAAAGGTTTCCTATACTTTCCAAGATGGCTAGGGATGTACTTAGTGTTCCCATTTCCACAGTTGCTTCTGAGTCCACTTTCAGTACAAGTGGTAGGGTTTTGGACTGTTTTAGAAGTTCATGAAGTTGTAAAATTGTGGAAGCCCTTATTTGTGCACAAGATTGGTTGAGATTGGCTCACCAGCCTATCTCAATTGAAGAAAACATCGATGAAGTAGAGAGACTAGAAAAAGGTATAACTTTTATAGTTTTATGTGTTTTCATGTATTATTTGCTTATTATGAATCTTCTTGTTTATATTTCATAATTCTAACAATTCTCTTTGTTTGTTATAGAAATAATGGATGGAAATGTTGGTGGTGGAACTGCTGCTCCTACTGGATCCTCTATTGTGCCATTAAGTGTACATTTTCTATATTTTTATAGGGTTTAGGGTTGGCATTGCTCTTTGAGTTCATAACAAGCATTCTGACTTCTGAGCTATATGACATGTTTGGTTTTTGCCATTATTTGGTTGTTTGGCTATGATGAAGCTTCCACTCATTACTGCATTTAGGGTTTAGGGTTGGTGTTGCTCTTTCAGTTCATAAAATGGTAAGTTGTAACTGAAATTGTAGCAGATGCCCCCTATTTCCCCTTATGAATGATAAAAAACATTCTGAGCTCTATGAAATGTCTGGTTTGTTTCATTATGTGCTTGATTTTGAATGGTGAAGCTTCCACTCATTACTGCATATAGGGTGTAGGGTTGGTATTGCACTTTCAGATGCCCCCTATTTCCCTTGTGAATGAAAATAAGCATTTTGAGCTCTATGAAATATCTTGTTTGTTTCATTCTGCCATTATGTGCTTGTTTTTCCAGTTATGATACTCCCATATGCCCATTACTTGATATATATTGGAAATGTTGGAAGCTGTTAAGTATATGTAAATATGTAATACACAGTATAGATGTTTAATACTTCAATGCAAATATATATATTGCATGAACTGTGTACTAATTTAGCTCACTGTCACTGGTATATTTTTGTTGTACATGTGAATCCCTATACATATGTATAATGTATTATGTGCTCATTACATTTGAATGAGTATGATTCTGTCATTCTGGAAAGCATGCACATGCAGCCAACTGTCCCTGGACCCTTGTCCCTTGATCTGATTTTCAGGTTTTGCGTAAGTATCTCATTATCCCATTCATCCTTGATTCTATCATTTATATTACTTTTCATTGGCTATGATGAAGCTTCCACACATTACTGAATGTATGGTTTAAGGTTGGTATAGCTCTTTCAGTTCATAACATCTAAGTTTTGACTGAAATTGTAGCAGTTGCCCCTGTATTACTTGTGAAGGATAACAAGTATTCTGAGCCACTGATTTTTCTAATTTGTTTCATTAACTTATCCTTGTTATTGTACTACATGTATATTGATTTCCATGTGTTCATTAACTTATCTTTGTTATTGTACATATGCAGGGGGAATCTTGAAGGTGTGGTAAATGGTTGTGGAACTGTGGAAGTGTGGAATTTGAAATGTTCAAGCTATGACCCTGAGTGGACTGCCTGAGTGGATGTATTGATTTTGCTTAGTTGTAACTTGGAACTTTGACACTTTGGATGTTAATTACTTGTAATTAAGTAATTAATGCCAAAACTCTATGTTACAATTTTGATCCCCTCCCTAAGCTACTCTGTTACTTAATGACTTGTAATTGAGTAATTTGGTAATTTGAATATCTGGTATCATATGCACATTTTGTATGGGAATCATTTTTTTTTGCAATTTCATTGGATTACACTTATATTTACAGTTGTGAAAGTAAAACCGAATTGACCCGATACCCGAACCGAACCCGCCCTACCCGAAATGCAAAAAAACCCGAAAATATACAAGTTAAAAACCCTAGGGTAGGGCATCCATATTACACAACCGAAACCCGAAAGGGTATTGGTTTTACCCACCCGCCCGACCCAAATCCGCCCGATGCTCACCCCTGGTGGTGGCAACCATGAGAAGTACCAGTGGCCGGAGATAAGGAGGAAATACCACAAAAGCCAGAGAATCTAAACCGGCGAACACTCGAGAGAAAGTACCCTCTCCTCCTTCCCATCGACACCAGGCTAGCTACTAAGCTACCCATAGCCCACCACTTCCCCTTCTAGCACACGGCCATTTCTGCTGATGGCCAACCAGCGAATGCCGAAAAAGCACCCAAACCAGCCAGCCATATCCACCCTTACTTTCTGGAAAAAGTCAGACCTCAATAACGTCCAACCGGCGAGTAAAGCAAGATAGAAAAATGTTACCCATCTCAGAAACCACCCATTGCTCCAGAACCAAGCACGGACAATTCCGACGACCTACCATTCAACTCACAGCTTTCCTTTCCGATCATCTTCCCCGGCGAAGCCCCAGCGAGGTCTCCAAAGCAACCAAAACAGATCCATAAATGTACAATCCAACCCAAGCCTCCATTAGGATTTTCGATGTAGCTAACCTCAGAGAAAGCACAACCGCAGGGAAACAAAGGACAAATAAACAACTAGCAACTTTCTTCATAGTATTGACTTCATAGTTTTGACTTTGGAGAGCAAAATATTAATGACATTTTTTTTGTGTTGCAGCAACGTATGAACTAAAAGAAGAGGGGAGAAGTCAGAAGTATTTATGGATGAGGGTAAAATATACGGAGTACTCCGTATGAGCCCATTGATTGACAAATTTTTGGAGATCTTAAATCCGACAAACCTTTTTCAACCATTCTTGATGTACACACCCCTGGACACACCATGTTTGTGAAGCTTTTTTTTTTGTCTGTGAATCCGGTTCACAGACAATATTTTGTTTGTGCAAAACATTGTCTGTGAATCGATGTTCACAGACAAAAAAAAAACTTTCACAGACATAGGTGTGTACAAAAATGTGTATAAGAGTGTGTACAAACATCATTTTTGAACCTTTTTACTCTTGTAGCCGAAGGAAAGTTGTATTCTTGTTTTTAATCCTTCGGTCCTTAATCTTGCCTGGTACATTGTATAGCTGTATACCAGTATGTGGGCTAGATATTTAGGTGTAATGATTTCTTTCTAAAAAGTACTCCCTCCGTCCCGCAATTATCTTCATACTTTCCTTTTCGGTGTGTCCCAAATTTATCTCCCCTTTCCCTTTTTAGCAAAGAATTTGTGGTTCACAACCGTTCTTACACATTCTTACACATTTCTCTTTCCTCCGCACAATTCTCCACCACATATTTCCCACTATCTTAATCTGTGTGCCATTTGTACTTCAGGATATAAATATGGGACGGAGGGAGTAGATAGTTATTTTATGTTTCCAAGAAGGCTGAAACATTGGGCCGAATGAAATGGCCTGCCCAATGTCACTTTCTTTGACTTTCAACTAATTCCATTCATCAAAGCTCCTGTTGGCTTTAAATGTTAAACGACCAAAGCAATTGAATAAAACCTGACCCGTTCTACTATCCATATTTTTGGGCGGGAAATTCACCAAAAATCCACCATGCTTTGTATATAGATAGATATGACATGCCCTTGGTTTAGTTATTTGAATTCACCCGTCTCCTAATCCTTATCTAGCTCCCTCCCCTATAACCTGTCTCCTACAATGGAATTTTTATATTTTTTAAGATTTTTAAAGCCCGCATAAAACCATTAGTGTAGCATCATAACCGTGTCGAGGCCAATTAGGCCCTCTCGACTTGAACCGGTGACTGATGAGGCTCGCTCAACAATGATAGTCGGGCTTGACCTCATCAATGTAGCTCGGCCAAAATTGAACAAGAGAGGGTGGCCTATACTATGATGGTGACCTCGGCGCTAGGCCTTAACCCACTCATTGCAGCTGAATTGGACCCCCATTCTAGACCTTTTATCTTTCGGTCCTTTGAGATTATTACTCCCTCCGTCCCGGAATTATCTTTATTCTTTCCTTTTTGGTCCGTCCAAAATTTATCTCATTTTTCCTTTTTTGGTAAAGAATTTGTAGTTCACAACAATTCTTACACATTTCTCTTTCCTCTGCACAACTCTTCACCACACATTTCTCACTATCTTAAAACTCGTGCCCAGTCAAATAAAGAGATAATTCGGGGAGTATGATAATATACCCATCAATACCTACTCATAATTGTACTTGGGTACATAGACATGATGTGGCTTTGATTTGATTTCTTGTATCGATTTTGGTCTATATTGAACCTCCGTTCTAGACCTTGTATCTTGCGGTCCTTTGCGTTTATTATGCCAGTATAACCCATCAGTACCTATTCATTTTTTTTTGGATGAAATGTAAATATATATTAACACCCAGAAAAAAATACATCAAAAAGGTTCTAGATCTCCTAAAACCTCCCCCACCCCTACCTAGTGTTGGGGTTAGGAGAGGTTTTTATTCGATCTAATAAAAATACAATCGGTGCTGCAGGATGCACGCACACAGAACATTAAAAACATCCATCCGAATAGGAAAAGCACAACTAATAGGAGGTTCTAATGTACACTCCCCTCAGCCCAAAAGAAGAAATCGTAGTGTTGCAAGGTGCACACATTACTCACAAAGCGGTTGATGCCACGGCTTTGATGCGGTCAGCCGGTCTCCCATCAGTACCTATTCATAATTGTACTTGGGTAGGCATGCTTTTACTTTGATTTGATTTCTTCTATCAATTTTGGACCATATTCTTTAGTCTATTTTTACCTGCCTGACCTTATTTTTGAAGAACTATATTTACCAACTCATTTGCCCATTGGGAAAAGCGGGGAAGGACATGCTACTCCGTTTGGATCATGGCTTAGAGCACCCCGGGGTAGGGTGCAAGCTGAGGGAAATCTGTGGCTTGTCCCGATAGGGAGAGGCTCCAGGAGTCAACAAGTTGGGTTCAACATGACACACAAAGGGAGATAGAGGAAGGAATATGCAAGGAAGGAAGACCATGTCACAGTCACACTGGTTCATGGCAAGCTCGATCTTTGGGAAGAAATTAAAACTAACCAAAAGAGGAAGAGATTGGAAGAAATAGTGTCAGCTGAGTTGAGTACCAGAATGGAAGTGCAGTGTGCCCTTCCAAAAAACGGGATGAGGTGAGTCAACTAGTAGTTGCTCTCCAAATGGAAAATTTAGATGTTGTTGGATAGGAGTGGAGCGGAAGAAAAGCTTGAAGGATAGAGGACATGTTCTATTTTTTGTTTTTCCTTCTTAGTTACTTGTATTTCTTTTTACAATCATTCTTGATGTACACACTCTTGTACACACCTTATACACACCATGTTTGTGAAGCTTTTTTTTTGTCTGTGAATCCGGTTCACAGACAATATTTTGTTTGTGCAAAACATTGTCTGTGAATCGATGTTCACAGACAAAAAAAAACCTTTCACAGACATAGGTGTGTACAAAAGTGTGTATAAGAGTGTGTACAAACATCATTTTTTTCTTTTTATGGTTGTGTCGTACATCTTTATTTGGATAATTCTTGTGTTTTGTGGGTGAGATTCGAGAACTTTGAGGGTTTTACAATATGGGTGGAAGTATATTGACTTTTATGCTGACTAGTGCTTCAAATCTCTCACATGTCCAATAAAGAGCGTTGCTCTTAATAGTATATACTCTTTTATGCATAGTCAGAGAGTAAGCAGATTGTTTGGTTTTTTGTAAGGGCTAGAAGGTGTGAGGAGAGCAAGGGTTGTGGTGAGGATTCAAGCTCTTGTGATGACAAATAAATGACAACATCACTCTCAAGGCTCTATAACACATTAACATGATTTATCGATATTTAAAAGAGCGAACTATCAAATAAGCCCTCGAACTTACTTAAAAAGTGTAAATAAGTCCTTTTATATGAGGCTCTGTCCGGTAGTCGCAATTTCAGGCGATTCCTGGTGGAACTTTTTGATGACATTTTTTGAACATCTTATTCATTAAGTCTAGTTTATGCATAACAAATTTCAGCTAAATATTCAATCGGAAAGACACTCAAATGAATTTTTGAAGATAACTGCACAGTTAAACAACGCAGTATATTTCAGAAAATCATTTGATTGCCTTCTCGGTTGACGTTTTAGCTTAAATTTGGAATGTGTAAACTAGACTTAATGAAGAAGATTCTCAAAACGTTTCATCAAAAAAATCCACCGGAAGTCGCCCCAAATGGCGACGACCGGACAAAACCTCCTATAAAATGGCTTATTTGCACTTTTTATGTAAAATTGAGTGCTTATTTGATACTTCTCTCATATTTAAAATGATCAATTGCTTAGGGTATGTTTGGGAGTTGAGTTTTGGAGGGGAGGAGATGGTTGACAAGGGTTTATGGCCCTCCCTTTCACGTTTGGGAGTTAAAAAATTTGGAGGATTTTTGTAACCCTCCAAAACCCTTCAAATGCTCAATTTTCAAGTTCCTCAAATTAGAGGGTTTTGAAGAATAACTAATTAAATGACAATTTTAGCTCAATTATTTGAATTTGTCATATATGTGAAGTGATTTTAATTACTCCCTCCGTCCCATATTTATCTTCGTAGTTCGGTTTACGATGCTTGACTGACGATAAAGCAACTTGATCCCTATTCACACTCAGATTATTTTTAGTAAATTATATTTACATATTCAGAAATTACATTAAATCCGCTACAAAGTCTGATCAAGAAAATTTAAGTTTGATAATAATTTGATATATAAAGTAAAAGATTAAGAGTAATTTGAGTTGACCATGTGAATAGTAAGTATGAAGATAAATATGGGACAGAGAGAGTATAATTTATCCAAAACCTTTATCTTTTCAAACTTGATACTCCCAACAAGAAGGGTTTCCAACTCGTTTCCTCCCCTTCTCTTCCAATGACTAACCTTCAAAACTTTCTCCTCTCCTTCCCTTCAAACTCCCAAACACACCCTTAAGGCCTAAAATACGCTAGAGGCAATTAGGCAGCCCCCTCTAATATGAAGTGAACTTGTGAAGTCCTGGGTTTCCTTCTTAAAATGTAAACAGAAATCATATGTCGTCTCTTATTTTATTCGACTGAGAAATAAATCATTCAACAAAATATAATCCAAATGTGTTTACATATTAGACTAGTACTGTAAGACAGAAACCATGGTGAAGAGTCCTGATTTGAAAAAAATGTGGAGTCGTGCAGCAAAAAGTCCTCAATAAATTTTCAATGAGGTTCTTGTCTTTATAAGAGTGAAATATTTTACAAGAATTATGCTTTACAAAATGTTAGTCAGTTGCCTAGTACTGGGTATAATAAAATGACAAAATTTATCCCTCTGTCCTATGTAGTATGAAGCCTCACATGATGAGGTAAAAATAAATAAAAGAAGAAAAGTAACAAATTCATCTACCAACTATAACACTAAGAGTGAGGCTATTCGAACTAAGAAGATCGTCATCCTGATTCCAGGAATCAACACGATCTAATCTTCTCATGGATGCTGTATAGGTAGGCGGTTTAGGTGCTGGCAGAATTACATTGTCTGTCTCAAGAAACAATACAATTGCTGACATGTTTGGCCTGTGAACGGCCAAGTCTTGAACGCAAAGCAGGCCTATTTGTATGCATCTCAACACTTGTGGTGGTACACATGAACTAAAGATTAAAGGGTCCATTAGGTTCATTGGTTTTCCTTGATCCCATTGATCCCATGCCTACAGTAAAAAAAATTGAGAGAAGTTACAAGTTGATAGAGACCTAGATAGTACTAAAAATAAGAATAATAGTGGTCTTTTAATGTTGTAGAATAAAAGGGGTTTAGGCCCTGAATTTAATAGAACTGGGCTGGCCCATATCGAAAAGAATAAATAGGAGTGAGGGGCCTAGAATAGGCAGGCAGATTTTAGAATTGGGAAATTGGGATCTGGGAGAGTTGAGGCCTCTCGAAGCGCCTCACCTGTATCATCTTCTTCCTTTCTACTGTTTTACAATCAGTTTACTGTTATAAAATTAGAGTTCCTTTCAATGGTATCAGAGCAGTTGTCCTGGGAAGCTTCGATCTAAGTCACGCGATAAAAAAATGGAGCAGCGCAAGGAATATCGAAGGACAGAACGGAAAGTGATCGCCTCTGGTTTGCGCGCGAACACTGAGGAGCGTGTGTCTACTCATGGCGGAAAAGAACTGTGCAGGGAGTATGGAAGATCCGATCAGGATACTTCGCATGGAAAAGGAGAGAAGATGGCGGAAAAGGTTGAAAGTGATTGGGCTAAGGAGATGCGCCATAAGTTGGGCAAAAATTTTCACAGAATCAAGCACCATAGAGACAGAGCGAGGAGCCCTCCTAGACACCGTCGGCCGATGGAAAATAATCTGGTGTCTTCGTCCGTTGCTCTTCCTAGTTCGCAAAAGCAGTTCGCAGGCTTTCTTCTCAGTCACAAGCTGCGTCTCACAGTCCAAGTACGCAGTCGCCAGCATCTTCTTCCTGTTCGCCAGACTCTTCGCCGTCAGTAGCCGCTCCTCACCTATCATCGGCGACCAGTTCGAAATTGTCGTCTCTGACCGCATGTCACAGTTCGTCGACGCTAGCCGTTCCTCACCATGCGCAAGCCTCATCAGTTTTCAGAACCCTAGACCAAGCTGAATCCGAAAATGGATCACCAGGAACTTCATCGCCGACAATGAACATTAAGTTGAGATTGTCAGAACCTAAAGCGCAGGAGGAGGAGGTCACAAGCGCAGATAAGTCAAAAAGGACAGGTGATAAAATTTATTATTCGACTCTAGTGAAAGCCGTGCCAAAATCTGTTGATTCATCTGAACCAGATCAAAAACTAGATCAGATCATTTATAGTATCAAACTTCCTGGACCTGCTTTATTGGGTGAAGATTACCTGTTGAGTAGAATCAGTGTGGATCTGGACCCTACTATTCAGATTGCTGGAATTGATATCTCCAAGAGGGAACAACTCATGAATTTATCTTTAAAGCCCAAAAGGGTTAAAGGAAGGGAAGCTGAAGTAAATGTTCAACCTTGTACAGTTAAAGAGAAAAGTGAAGCTAACAAAAATGAGGAAGGGAAATCTAGCATACTTGATGCTTTCTTCAGGCTTGTGGAACTGGAAAGAGGGAGGATCAGTATTGATGATGGTGATATTTTAAAGTTAGGATTGAGGGACTTCCATAAGGTTGTTGGTATTATACCACAGTTGCTTATTCTGTTCTCAAGCAGTGTTGGATTCATCCTTGATCCTTTCAATGAACACAAGGGTGCTGATCTGTGGGTGGTTTTAGAGAGGGCACATATCAAAGAAATGATCAGGATGAGCTCTTTGGGTCTGGATAATGAGGATTTTCTTCAAGATAAAGTTCTGTATGATCTTCTAAGTGAGAAGTCTAATTTAAGGGAGGGGTTGAAGGCGGAAGGACATGCAACACTAAGGGCGGCCAAGGGCCTTCAACCTATGGGACTGACAGTGAAACTGACTCCAGGAGTTTGGAGTGTCATGCTCAACTGTTTGGCTGGAGAGTCAGATTTTCAAATCTTTGCGATGGATATCGTTTCAGCATTGGTTGATCATTCTAACAATAAAAAGTACTTTGAGACCATAATTCAGGATTTCATACAAAAATGTTATCATCAAGGTGTTCTATTCATTGGAGATGCAGACTATTATGGTCGGAGTATTAACCAAGATTCTGTGCATGCATCAGCTATTGGTCAGATGGTGGATGATGGTGGATGATGGTGGTTTGTTATTACTAAAGATTCTTACTGATGAGGTTGGTGAAGAAGGATTATGCATACGGAGTTGGCCTGGTGGCAATGTGCCAAGTTCTTTGTTACCTTCCTTGGTTGCTGCTGTGAAGACTGAGACTTACAGTCCCGAAGCTGACTTTGTATTCTCAATCGGAGATTCTGTAAGAGATCAGACATGGGGAGTGAAGGAGATAACGAAATTGGCCAAAAAGATCACTATGTTGACAAAGAGATTGAGTGGATACCCAAGCGTAGAAAACTATCCGAGCTGAAGTACTGGGAAGGCAGAGGAGCAAGGATAAAACGTACTGGCATGGTTGTTTCTTACTCAGATACTCCCCACCTTGAGGACAAGGTGGTTGTCAAAGGGGGGAGTAATGATAGAGACCTAGATAGTAATAAAAATAAGAATAATAGTGGTCTTTTAATGTTGTAGAATAAAAGGGGTTTAGGCCCTGAATTTAATAGAACTGGGCTGGCCCATATGGAAAAGAATAAATAGGAGTGAGGGGCCTAGAATAGGCAGGCAGATTTTAGAATTGGGAAATTGGGATCTGGGAGAGTTGAGGCCTCTCAAAGCGCCTCGCCTGTATCATCTTCTTCCTTTCTACTGTTTTACAATCAGTTTACTGTTATAAAATTAGAGTTCCTTTCACAAGTTATTATTATTGTATGTTTGAAATTTGTGAAAATTTGATATAATTATTGTACAACTTACATATTCTACAATTCCCGAGTGGCAGCCAGAGCGAAAAGTATTGTTCCTTCGACCACTAACGATCTCTAATAGCAAGACGCCAAAGCTGTACACATCAGATTTCACTGAAAATAAGCCTTCCATTGCATACTCCGGAGCCATATAGCCACTACAAAAAGTGTAACAGATGAGTTTATTGGAGCCAAATAACCACCGAATATAGAATATAGAACCATTCCCAAAGATGCTCAATATCTGTTTTAAGAATTTTTTAATTAGTTGTTAGTTGTTACTTTTAAATATTTGCTTCTTCACTTTTAGTTGTTTATAAACTACTTAATACAGAAAAAAGTACTAGGGGGCATAAATTTCGTATTAGGGGGAAAAGTTGAAAAAGTTATGTTAACGGGCTAAAGTATTATTATTGTGCACATGTTTCTTTTTTCAAGTATAATTATTTGTGTGGGAAGGGGCTACACCACTTCCAGCCCCTCCCTAGCTCCGCAACTCATTTAACAGTTCTACAATTTCACCCGACCTTAAACTCATTAAAACTATTCAAATATGGGAGTGATAAATAAAGTACTTACTATGTGCCTACAACCCTGTTTGTATTCTCTTCATTTTGGTTACCTCCAAATATTCTAGCCATGCCAAAGTCTGAAATTTTTGGGTTCATCTCGCTATCGAGTAGAATGTTACTTGCCTTCAAGTCTCTGTGAATTATCCTTAATCTCGAATCCCGATGAAGATATAGCAACCCTCGTGCAATCTCTTCAATGATTTGGTAACGTTTTCTCCAGTTCAGCTCTCCCCTTTTTACTGAATCTGTCATTAGTTGAACAAAAACAATTATTCATTACTCAATGTAGACATACATTAAAGTGTATTGAGATGGGCTCGTTAAAGAACTTGAAAGATAAGCAGTATTGAAATTACCAAATATGAGAGAGTCTAAGCTCTTGTTTGGCATGTACTCGTAGAGCAGCATCTTTTCTTCTCCCTCAACGCAACAACCTAAAAGTCTAACAAGATTTCTGTGTTGTAATTTAGCTATCACTGTAAGCTCATTTTTGAACTCCTGCATGCCTTGGCCAGACTTTCTTGAGAGCCGTTTCACAGCTACTTCTTGACCACATGGTAGCACTCCCTTAACATGCATACATTGTAGGTTACTTAGTCATTCATACTTAGAAATAATTCAGACATGCAAAGTAAGCCTAAAGGGTTTAATTTAAAAAAATGCCCTGAACAAGAGTAAAATTGTTTCTGAAATACGGCTATGTTTTGGCATTACTAAGCTTTAAAAAAGACACTATTTCCATGCATGACAGTACTTGCTCCTATTCGGGAATAAAAATATACACCGTATAATACTCTATTTTGAAATTTCAAAACATTGTGACTCTTGTTACTGGAATTTCCTCTTAATTTTACCTTGTAAACATGGCCAAATCCTCCTTGACCCAACTTGTTTTCGTGTGAAAAGTGATTAGTAGCTGTTGCCATGGCGCTAAAGGTGAAGATCGCGAGGTCCGATCCAGTTCCGTGATTCCCTTCGACAGCAAGTGGACATGGCCCCTCTGACAAATCCGTGGAGGATTCGCCACTGCTAGGCAGCTCACTTTGCACCATTTCATCCTTCTTCCGTTTTGATTTCCGCTTATAAAATATCCAAATGGCTAAGGAAACAAGGATTGTTGCAGAAGCTGCAGCCGTGACAGCGGTTGCAACAATAATTGTCCTTCTCTTCTTTTTATCACCTGTTCATAATACATTTTCATAGCCTTTTAAACTTAAGGGTCCCATTTTAAACCACTGGCAAAGCGAGAACCTAACAGGGAGGGTGAGCCGGGAATCGGATAATTTATACTACTTATGTTCTTAAATAAGGGGAACTTTTCAGTTTTCACATTCCGGATGCAAAACTTTTACCATTAACATTTCCAATTCTATATGAATAAGAAACTAAAAGTTCAGATTTTGAAAATATATGATGAAGCATACTAGTATTTAACAATATTTTTTGAAAATAATTTATTAATACATTAATAAATAAAACGTAGTCAAAGTACAACATATGAATAGTGTAAAATTTAAGATGTTATACTTACTTATAAACGAAGATAGTATATTTTACAAGTAAAGAAATTTGTACCAACTCTAGAAGAACTAGGCTACCCCCCCCCCCCCCCCCCCCTATCTAAGCCTATGGCTGATCGAAATTACAAGTGACACAATTGTAACTGTACGTTCAATTGACTAATACTAAACTTTAAACAAATTAGTCTTAATCAAGTTAGAGTTAAACAGATCAAACCAGAATCTTTTAGTCCAAATCACTGGTGTTGATGACATGAGCACTAATTGAAAGAAATTAGTGAATATTTTCAGTTTTAGGTCATTTAAACTTTAAAAAGGTATGATAGTCTCATTATTTTTTTTGAGAGTAGTCTCATTAGTTATGCTTAGTCATATCATTATAAGTATTTAGATTTACAATAACTTACTATGTTCTAATCATATTTCAGCAAATTTCTCATTAGTATCTTGATTGCGTAGATTAATTAATTAAGTTAAAGGTTTCGAGTTGTACATGGAATTGTTATTTCTAGGTTTTGACAAGAACATTGATACAATTAAACGTAATCAAGAAACTAACCTAATTCATTTGTCCAAAATGTTAAATCCCTAACCCCAAAGGCCCCCCAAGCCCAACCCATCAGACCTTATCCTCTGTCGCTGCAGGTTTTGATCCTAAATCATTCATCCATACATCTCACGGCTTTACCATTTGAGCTACATGTGCAAGTAACTAACCTAATTCATTCCACAAGTAGGGTACCAAAATGAACCAGTGTCCCTAATTGAGGTATCTTTTCTGCATATTACAGTTATCACGCCAGTTTTTAGTCCTAATTTGAAATAACGATGCTTTAGAAGGCAAGGATTAATACCTAATTCAGAGTGAGCAAGGCGCAGAAACAGGGTGCTCCCACTCCCCTTTTCAAACTGCTGCATATCAACCAAATCAGTCCTCCATATCATGCAAGAGATACCATAGACAAAAGCAAATGCATTGCAACTGCAATCCTCTTCACACTTCTTTCTGCACTCTTCTTCATCCCCAGCATCGCTCTCAGCATCTGCAAAATCTGGCAATTTGATATGAGCAACTTCGCGAAACCCATCCTTCCCGCCATCGCCTTCACTGCTGTTCCTCCCGCATTGCAATTTAGTCCTCCTGACGCAGCCCCCCTTGCCGGGCACAAATCCGTCCACGCAGTTGCAATCAAACTTCGGCGGAGCCGATGAAGTAACGCATTTTGAAAATTTCCCACAACGGTTGTAGAAGCCGCAGGGATCATCAGCGGGCTGAGATTGAATCTCTTTCCATTGCTTTGTGCTTTCGTCCCACCTCTGTTGCACCTCGTTCCCTTCCCAATCAATTGTAAACCTGTAATGTTAAAGATTGAAGTATACCAAATTGAGTATACATGAAACTTCAAATAAATACTTATGACTCCCATTTGTCGGCTTCACCTTTGCTCACAGATACTCTTTATAACTTTGTCTTTGTCATGTTTGAATTTTTCAGTAAATCGATTAGATTTGGACAAATAATATATTTTACCGAAAATACTTATAATATAAAATTGACAAGACAAATAGATTAAATACATTCATACATAGATAAAAAAAATGGAATAACGATTAAACTTATTTTAGCATATGTAAACTTACAAGAAATATAACAAATAAGAAAAACAAATCATAATCCTTCGTATACAACAATATAAAAGATAACAAAACAGTTCTTATTAATAATACTTTTGCAAAAGTATAAAACGTACGGAGTATAACTTTTACAAAAGTATTTTATTCAAAATCATCGATCAAAGTGAAACTTAATTCACAAGGGTTTCTCAAACCCGTTTCCTCGTGAACGTCCGACCAATCTCGCAGAGAGTGGACCACCCGCACTCGTACGGGGAGATGTAAAAGTAGACCTTCCAGTTTGCGTCTCCATCGTAGAGAAGTCGTAGGATGCTCAATCTGGCCTGGTTCACCTGTTTGAGGTCCTTAGGAAGAGATGCTATCATGTTTGTCAATTATTGGAGCTATGATGACGTTCAGGTATGTCATCGGATACTTTACAATTACAATTTTTTTAATCATTTACATGTTTGAGCTTGTGTATTTTGTTGTGAATTGAAGTTTATCATTGATATTAAGTGAGATTTCGAGTTTTAGCTTGCCAATGTGTATGTGATTGATGGTATCTCAAATGTTTTTGAGTTCTCTGTTTTTAATGTTTATAGATTGTTTGAAAGATTGAGAGTAGAAAAGTTTGTGCTTCTTCATTAGTTATTCATATATTGAGTGATTAATGTTCAAAACCTAGGGTTACTCGTTTGCTGCTACGATACCATCTGTGGGTTAATATTTTTATATTTCGTTATTTTTAAGCTTTTTAGCTGTCTCCGCTTCATATTCTTGAAAGGCAGTAAAAAATGTTGAGAGTATAACACACATCTAGTAGTGCCAAATCCAGTAAGGTCAATGCATCTGTTTATAATTCTGCTCTTATTTTCATTTCTCTTCCATTCTGATATGATAAAGTTCCAAAATTGTTCGTTATTGAATGAAAAATAAAAGGAGTTGCTTAAAAACAGATACTCCGTATTAGTTATGCAAATGGAAAACTTCAAAAGATATTGGTTCTGCCATCATCTAGAATTCAGGGTTAACAAAGTACAGTAAAATGAGTAAAACATTATTCATGTGCACAAACAAATAAGAATGAGAGTGCTTGAATGTAAGGTTGCCTTGAAACAGTGCGAAAGAAGTCAATTTGACATTAGGCGAAAGCGAATATTTCTCTTCTCTTCTAGAAATGATGTATTCGAATTCTTTTTAGACATCAATGTCTTTGGATGACTGCATTTTGGATCCTGAAAGAACAATCCAGTAATCTTCATTGGCTTTTTTACATATCTCTGATGTTAATTTGCCTCAACATGTACATGAAATGATATTATCAAGTTGTCCAGCTTTGAATTCAATCGATCTCAGTGGTTGTTGGGGTTTCACTTGTTTTGAGATCAACTTTAAGGCCATGTTTGGTTGGAGGATTTCGGAGGGAATGGGAGGAAAGTGGAGGATTTGTGTGTGTTTGGTTGAAGCAAATAGGGATACCCTCAGAAGGCATCGAGGAAGGACATGATCTCACACCCTGCGGTCTCATCCACCGGTTGATCAATATTTGGTAGAGGGAATGGATCCATAGGGCACGCCTTGTTGAGATCGGTGTAGTCCACGCACATGCGGAAGGTAGGGGGCTTCTGTGCGAGAACCACGTTGGCCAGCCATGAGGGATATTTCACCTCCTTGATGTGCTTAATAGAGAGGAGCATGGCGACCTCTTTCTTCACAAATTCCCTTCTCTCGGCCGAGAGGGGTCTTCTTCGTTGTTGTACTGCTTTTGCCGAGGGGTCCACCGAGAGGCGGTGGGTGATGATCCTTCGGCTGATTCCCGGCATGTCCTCCGGCCCCCATGCAAAGAAAGTGGAGTAGGCGCGGAGGGCGTCGGTGATACCGGTCTTCAGATCTTCAGGGAGCTGGGCTCCAATCTTCACGACTCTCTCCGGCTGGGCCGGATCGAGCGCAAAGTCTTCCACGTCCTCGGCTGGTTCAGCCCTCGGCCTCTTTTCTTCTTGGTCGATGGTTCCGGTGATGGTGTCAACACGGAATTCCGTCTTACTTACCTTCTTAGTGACTTGAAGATAGCAGGCGCGGGCGATTTTCTGATTCCCCCGGGAGTAGCCAATGCCCCCCTCGGCGGGAAACTTGAGGCAGAGGTGCCTCATGGAGATGATGGCCTCGAGGTCCTCGAGGGCTGGCCGGCCGAGGATGATGTTGTGGGCGCAGTCGATGTTGACGACGACGAACTCCACGTCGAGCTGGGCCCTATGGAGCCCGTCGCCGAAGATCACCGGGAGGGTTATTACCCCCTCGGAATCAATAGTATCGCCGGTGAAGCCGGCAAGAGGGGTCTTAATGGGCCGAAGGGACCCCCTCTCCAGATGCAGCTCTCTGAAGGTGCTGAGGTACATTACGTTGACGGAGCTGCCCGTGTCGATGTAAGTTCGGTGAATGATGGTGTCGTTTATTTCAGTCCGAATCACCAAGGCATCCCTGTGAGGAGAAGAAGTAGGAGGGAGATCTGCGTTGGTGAAGGTGATGGGTTCCTCCCTCAGTCGCTTTACCGGGGGCATATGGGTGACTTCCCCCACGTAAAGAGATTGAGCCCACTTTTTCCGCTGACTGGTGGAATCGCCCCCTGTATTGTCACCGGTGATCATGAGGATGTGGCGTTTTTTCTCCTGGTAGTGGGGGTACTCCTCCTCTTCCTCCTCCAAGTTTCCGATCTCCCTCTTCTTGCCGAGGGGGATGGTGTTCGGGTTCACCCAAGCGTTTACCTTCGTGTGGTGCCCTCGGGGAGGTCCCTGATGAGAAGGCCCCTCCTGCCGAGGGCTCTGGATAAATTGGGACAGGTGCCCCGCCTGTATCAATCTCTCGATGGCCGTCTTTAGCTGATGGCAGTCATCGATTCTGTGCCCCTGGTGCCGATGGAAACGACAGTAGGGGAACTGAGGGTTGATAGCATGTACCTCCGGGGGCGCGCGAGAATCGCGCTCAACGAGGCCCCTCTCCTCGGCAAAATCAAGGATGATGCTGACGGGGTGCGTCAATGGTGTCCGAGGGCGGGCCAGGAGAATGGGTTGTGCCCAAGTCTTAGGGCTGCTCTTATAGCCTCCCCGGGCTTGGCTTGGCCTTGCCGAGGGCGGTCATCAGAGGGTCCTGAAGCCTTGGGATGATTTGGAGGAGCCCCCGACCCTCGGTTATTCTTGTTGTCAGCCCTCGGGGGATGCTGATCCGGATGCTGGTGGTATTTCTCCACCTCCTCGGCCTCAGCATATCGATCCCCCCGCTGCAAAGCCCTTATGTAGTCGCGCGGGGGGGGGGGGGGGGGGGTTCAATGATGAGGCTCCTTGAAAAGTTGCCGGTGCAGAGGACGGTTTGTAGGAGGGCCAGGAGGGTCCCGTCATCAGCACCGTCGACTTTGTCGGCTTCCGTCCTCCAGCGTTCCAGGAAGTCCCGAAGGGTCTCATCCCTCTTCTGGCGTATGGTTGGGAGGTGGGAGAAGTGCTTCCTCGTGCGACGCCTCCCGGCAAATTGTGTCAAGAATCGTTGGGCGAGTTCTTGCCACGAATCAATGCAGCCCTCGGGCAACCGGTTGAACCATTCGTATGTCGGCCCCTCTAAGGTGGAGAGGAACCAACGACACAAATATTCGTCCGACGCCTCTACCATCATCATGCTGTTCTGATATTTGCTGTAGTGTTCCTGGGGTTCCGTCTTCCCGTTGTAGGGCTGTATGTGTTTCCCTCGGTATTTTTCCGGGATCCGGGCCGCCAGTACCCTTGGGGTAAATGGCGTCCGGGTCCGGAGCTGGATGACGGGTTCCCCGGAACCCTCGGCCACCTTCTTCTGTAATTCCTCCATTTTGGCCATCATGGCCTCGTATTTGAGATCTGAATGAGGGGTGGAGGTGGTGGCGTGAGCTTTGCTGGCCTCCATTTCATCAAGCCGGCGTTGGAGGGTCGCAATAATTTCGTCCCGGGGATCCTTCGGGAGGGTCTCCGCCCCCTGCGAATGAACCCGGGCCGAGTGGGCCTGATTGATTTGGTGGCGAGCATCATCGACATGAAGGGGTGCCTTGCCTTTGTCCCGAGGGGGACGCTCCTCGTCTGCCCTCGAGACAGACCCTCCGCTTTCCTGGGGCCTTTGGAGTGCTTTCCCTCCGAGGCGGTCTTGGACCCCTCGGCGGTCTGGCCCTCCTCCGAGCCGGTTAAGGGCGGAAGTGCGGGGCCTTTCTCTGTTGTCATTATGGCGGTCCCGGGACTGAACTTCCTGGGAGGACGTATCTTAGGCCACTACCCCTTCGTCGTTCCTAACCCGAGGGGTGGGGTTTCCGAAGGGGCGTGGCAGAGGGGGAAGTACGATGTCCTCCCCAACCTGGGGTTGAGCCGGAGCCAGGGTGCCGAAGGCACCTGGGTTCTGAGTGAGTGTCTGGATGAAGGCGGAGAGCGCCGAATGAACGTCGATGGTGAGAACCGGAGGGCTGACTTGATCATCGCTCCGGTTTTTCTTCTTGGCCTCGATGTCGAGGCGGGCATCGGGGGCATTTTGCTGGATCTGAAGGCGTAGGTCGACAGCCGCCTGTTCCAGCCCAGCGATGACACCGCCCTCGGGAGCCCTGTTAGAGGCTTAGGGGGCGTTGACGTCGCCGAGGGCCAGGTTCTTGTCTTCCACGTTTTTGGAGTTGTCACGTGTTGTTCTCACCATTTTGGTAGAGGGCTAGTGTTTGGCGAAGGGGGAGGGTTTCTTACTCGATTGTTCGAGCTCTCAACGAGAGCACCAAATGATGGATGGTCTACCCGGGGGGTATATATCCGAGGGGTTATTGCAGAGAATAACTTAGAGAGAAGTCAGAGCACAAGTAAGTAAGAGAGAGAGTGTATTCAATATGAATGTCGTGGTTTACCACGGGGAAAAGGGGGTGCTATTTATAGTAGCAATAAATGCCGGACAGGGACACGTGTCAAGCGCCCATTGGCCGAGAGGTCACCTCAACTGGTTGGCGTTGGCAGCCGCATGTGGCCGCATTTAATGCGGCTGTTGGATGGGACGTCTGTACATGGTACGGTGATCTGTACGCATGTGAGGCGGATATCATGTCGGGAGAGGTGCCTTCGGCTATAGAGCAGGAGCCGAGGGCACTTCAAACCGAGGGCACCCTGGTGCTGAGGGCTACTGTTTTCGCCGTTTTCTCCCAGTTTCTTAGTTTGCTTGAGAAACCCGTTCTGTGAGAGTCTAGAGCCTTCGGCCAGGGGGTCGAAGGCACCCCTAGTGCGCTGTGGGCTGCTTGGCACTCCGGGCGCCATGTTTTGGGCCTATTGGGCCTTCTGGGCCTGTTGGGCCTTTACCGGAGTAGTAGGAGTCTGCGGGTCAGGGGTTCCCGGGCCATATACTCCATCACCCCCCAAATCGGGGTATTTCGGAGGAAACATGTTGATAACCACAAACTATCCATCTCCTACGTGAATGAACAAAACGTTATAATATAAAAAGGTAAAAAACAAAAAGTTTTGAAAAATTAAAAAATTAAAAAAAATAAAAATTTAAAGATTAAAAAATTTAATAATTAAAAAACTAAAAATTTTAAAAATTAAAAATTTTCAAAATATAAATAAAAAATTTAAAAAACAAAATCAAAATATAAAAAATTCCAAACTGAAAAATGAAAAATTATAAAATAAAAAAGTAAAAATCAAATAAAATAAAATTATGACTCATGACCATAGGAGTAATATTCACAATAGTTAGACATGTATCTATTTTTTAAGTAAGCTATCAAATAAAAGTAAATTGCGAAAATATTTTCAATAAACCTTTCCTCCTATTTCCTCCAACCAAACACAAAATTTTATTAAAATCCTTCCATCCCCTTCTCTTCCCTTTCCTCCTTGAATCTCCCCTTCCCTCCCCTCCTTTGAACCAAACAAGGCCTAAGAGTCAATATAACCTCCAGGTGTAGAATTTGAAGATGAAGAACAAGAAAGTGAACCTTTCTTGCATATTTCAGCACCCTATCTAAAATCTTTAAGTATTTTTCTGTATCTAGTAAAAAGGAAGTTGAAGCTCATTAACCTCTCATTTGTTGTCAGGATTGAATTTTATTTTTTTGAGCACTTGTGGAGTTTGCGCTCTGAGGTGCTAAGTAATGCAAAGAAATATTTCGAGAGAAAAAATGTTCAATTTCAATCTTAGTTTCTTATTTTGTTATGTTCTAGTTGTGCATGTCTTTTTGTGTTATTATGTTATATAGGCTTATTGATTTCTTGTAGTAATTTATTCAGAATTTTTTTCATGGTGATTTCATTCCCCATTTGCAGCCACATAATTAAAAAAAGTACATGGAGATATAAAGACAAGAATATTGACAAGGAAAATGAAGATAAAGGAGACAAACTTGATAAGTTGTGTGTTAAGGTGCAACATAAAAGGAATAATAAGTGAGAAGAACCAAAAACAATATAGATGTAATATATAAATGTAAGAAATTGTAATAATGGATTGGATTATATGTATTTTGTGACATTTTTATATATTGTTTTTGTTGCTATTTGTTGCATCACATGTGTTGCTTTTTATTTTATCATGTTGCAAGTTATCCTACTGTGTTGCTTATTATTCTTTATTATTAATTTTAATTTTTATTAATTTTACTGTGTTGCATCACATATACTTCCTCCGTTCCATAAAAGTTGCAACATTGGAATTTCTGCACTATTCACACACCTTACTTTGACTACAATTTTCTAATAATATATATAATAAAAATATTATGTATAAAATATTAATAAATTTGTATTAATGTAAATTTCCAATATATTAATTTTTTTTAATGTTTACTAATACGTAAATAAATATAATTACAGTCAAAGTTGCGCGTTGGCAAACGTGAAAGTAAAATTGTTGCAACTTTTATGGAACGGAGGATAGTATTAATTTTGTTGCTATACAATTTTGGTAAATTTTTCTTCACAATATCAAGAAGATCATCTGAATGTTGACGTTGTAGTTAATATGACAGAGAAAAACTTATCAAAATTATACAAAATCATTCAAGTAAAAAGAAAGATAATTTATTTACTACTCCCTCCGTCCCATTAGGCTTTGTCAACTTTCCCTTTTTGGTTGTCCCAAAAACTTTGACACTTTTTTATTAAAGCAACTAATATGTGGTTCTACACGTTTCTCTCTTCTACACCAATTTCAACCACACAATTTTTACTGTTCTTATTTCTCATAATTCTCTAAATACGGTAAAAGTCTCGATCGATCTTTCTATACCTTATGAAATTTGAAGTGTTGGACGGTGTGTATTCGATGTAGCCGCCATTGTCACCATACACATTAAACCCGAATCTCGAAATTGCCCTCAGATTCGGTAATCCGAGGAAGTTCACTCTGTTCCAGTGGCCGCTTCGCCATCTCCGTTTATCTCCGTCCCATACCACGATCTGCGGCGATGCTCTCGGGTCGATCCCCATGGAGAATCTCCCCGGAGAAGGGTCTCCGGGACTGGTCCAAGAACTGAGGATTTTCCGTTCTCCGGCGGAAACGTTTGCTCTCATATCCGGCAAGAACGTGTCCGTCGGATCGGTGAAGCTTCTCCATAAAACTCCGTTTATCTTCTCTGGGTTTGTGCAGAGAACAAGATCGCCGTCATCCTTTAGGACCATAGTAGCATTCTCTGAAGTAACAGATACGTTAGTTCTCCAAACGGAAACGTTTTTCCCGTCTAAAACGACGAAATTTCCGTCGTCGGAGATTTTGAAAGTGCCGTTCCGGTCATGGATTGGATTCTCCCTGTTCGCCACCCAGACAACTGATTGGGGAGAAATGGTACTGTACCATATTCCGACGTATCTGTTTGTTGTTCCGTTTGGACTGAAGAATCCCAGTGAGAATTTCTTCCCGGCGGAAGTTATGGTTTCGCCGTCTCTGAGCTGAAGGGTTCTTGGGATTCTGTCGACGGCGGAGCAGCGTGATGAAATGAACTGAATGGCCAGGAACAACCAGAGGACACTAACCATGATCAGTGAACAAGAATAAATGAGGTAAGAAAAGCGAAGGCTGCGAAGTGTAATTAAGTTGGCCAATCTATGGAAGATACGGAGAAAAATGGTTCAATGGCCGTTCGACTCGGTGCTTTGTATGAATTTTATTAATCTGAGCAGAAAAAGATTGACCAGAACGCTGTTGAAGATTCTTGGTTGACCAGAGAGCCATTGGTTTGAAATTTTTTGTTCATACACCTCCCAAAAACTACTCCCTCGGTCCACTCATTTGCTCCAAGTTTGTGTTGGCTAGCAAACTTAGAAAGTGGGAATAAAGTGGAAATGTATGGTTGTAGTTGTATAAGAAAAATGTGAATGAATGTGAACCACATATTTTTTCCAAAAGTGGAAATTGGAAAAATTAATTGGGATGACCCAAAAAGGAAAGTTGTAAGAAATGACCGGGACGGAGGAAGTAATAAAGTATGACTTTTGGGTCTTCAATCCAATGGCTGAGATCATATTTGAGATCATACTCTCATTTACTCATATACTTGCTCCGTTCTTTTTTAAATGTAATATTGGACTTTTTCCACTATTCATATGTTCTAATTTGACTCTATTTTATTTATTAGAAATATTTTCCCTAAATAGGATCAAAACATAGACAAAAAAACAAAGTAGGATTTACCATGTTTTTTTCTCATTATAGGAGTCATCCGCTCCTATTTTGAGTTGTCGTCGTTTCTGTAATGTCGATAAAGCCCTTCGCTCTCTCCTGCTCGTATCCATTATCCCTGCATCTGCATCTTCTTCTTCCGCAATTCCCAGGTAATTCCTCTCCTCACTTCATTTGTGTTTCTTTTTTTTCAGAAATGTCATGCTCATCTTCTCCCTTTTCTGATTTAATTGGAAACATATCTGCCACTCCTTCATCCTTTCTCTTCCTCTTTGATATGATGAGAACATTCATCTTTCAAATTTTAATAATGGCGCACCAACATTAATTTCATAATTTAAGGTGTTCTTCATAGTGCTCTTCCTACTTCTATAGTTTCTTCTTCTTCTACTGTCTGCTCTACTTTTAGTGTTTTTGTTTTTTAAAAATGTCATTTTGGTTCTCAAAAACATGACAGTCGCTCCTCCTTCTTCACCTCTTTAAGAATGATATGGAATGTCATGAAGATGGCATTTACAGACGTAAAAAACTGACATTCGCTCCTCCTTCTCCTTTTTAAAAATGACATGAAATGCCATGAAGATGACATTTACAGACCTAAAAACCTGACAGTCGCTCTTCCTTCTTCACCTTTTAAAAATGCCATGTTTGTTTTGAAAATGTCATCGAATTGTCTGTATTACTCTTTGAAACTCTCAATTTTACTCTGAAAATGTAATTAACCCGTAGAGTAAAACTGTCATGTTGATAAATATTTGCCACAATAGTGACATTATTTTGAGGTTAGTGTTCAATAAAAGACCTATTATGGCATTTTCAAACTCAAATCATGAGAAAAATAATAAGAATGGTTTAAAGTAAGATAATCAAAATTAATAACAAAATGGAAATTCAAAAGAAGAAGAAAAAGGATGAAGAGACCGTTTGGCAACACTATTTTTTGGCTTATCAGGCTTATCAGCCAACTTTTTCACCAAACACGTAACTTTTGCTTTCGCGCGCTGAATTGTGTAATAAGCAGAAAAAGTAAGGTTGGAGTTACTTTTCTGGCTGTATTGGCTGAAGTTACTGTAGATGACCATTTAAGCTATTTTTACATATAAATTTTTCTTTATTTTATTAATAAAATATATTTTAAAAATAGTTTTTTCTTAAATCAGCAGAATCAGCCAATGCAGCCACTTCAGCCAGAACTTTATAAATTTCAGCAGAATCAGCCAAATCAGCCGATTTTTGTGCTACCAAACGGGCTCGAAATGTGGAAGAAGAGAAAAACAGAGCACGAGAAGAAGAAAAACTCACCTGAGCATGTAGCAGGGTCGCCGTTCATCACAACCGGTATTCATCGTAGCCGTATTCATCGCAGAGTTTGCAGCTTGTGAACTCACTCCGAAAGGCTTTGCAGGGCATATTTGGCATTCCAACTTAGTTTTGGTCTTGCGACAACACATGGAAAAGTAGTAGTCCTATTGTGGCACTTTTCTTAAGTTTTGGTCCCATTTTGGGAATTTACTCTATTTTTTTTGTTTTTTTTAACCCGGTGTTAATCCACATAATGTGGGGTAAGGGCCGAGGAACACCTTACCTGTTTATTTTAAAGACCGAGATACATGGTAAGGGGACATCAAGCCAATACCTACCAAATTATACAATGTATGGATAACTAATCGCATCAAATTTAAGGATACCCTAAAAATGTTTGGGCTACTACTAAAAAGGTCAGCGTTAATCGCAACATACTCTATTTATTAATGTATTACTCCGTATAAATTAAATTTAAAAAAATATTGTTAAATTTCTCTCATTTTAAAGTTTCAAAATCTAATTTTTTCATTAATAAAGTATGAGAGATATTAATAGTCAAACTTGTGTGTTGGCAAACGTGAAAAGTGGACCGTTGCATTTAAAAAAGAACGGAGGAAGTATGAGATTCTGGCCCCGTTTACTTAGGATTTAATGAGCTGAATTGAAAGAGTGACTTATTCGCATGTACTAACGACTTAATGAAAAACTTTGACTTATTCGCTTAGAGAACACATGTGTCTCCTATTTAACTGTAACTTCTTCTGCCTGTGAAATTGAAACTCCACGCCTCCATCTTCATCAACAAGAAGGTTAAACAGCAACTCACCAAGATCTTCATCTTCACACATTTAAGCCTCCATCTCCCTATGTGGTTCTTTATCTAGGAATTCCTTAAATTTGTTTCTAGTTCTCTGTGTTTATTTACGGATTAATTTTCTAAATTTAATATCCATCGACATGGTAGTTAAGTATCACATTCGAATCTCATGTTCTTTGCAATTTAATCATATGAACTTTGTTTTCTACAATTCAATTCTTCCCAGCGATAAGTATAAGCTGAGACCCACATCAGGCTTCAACCTCAAGCCACGACTCCATACATGACTTGCATCTCTCCCCTGCTCCCAACGATTTACATAGCTTTTTTATTTTGTTTAATTGGTTAGCTATAGTAATCTACGTATGAGTATCTCTATTAATAATAATACCTTAAGTTATTACGGAGTATTATACAAAGTATCTATTAGGCATTATATACAATTTATTGTTCTTATTAATTAAAATAAAGATAGCTTTGTATATTCTATTTATAAAGATAGCTAGTTTATTATTAACTACCATGTTCACCGGTTCTTTCCATCATTCGCTTCTCCTACTCGTGGCCTTGTTTTCCCCTTTTCTGAGTGTGTTGATTCAATCAAATAATTGAAAGCGTGGTTGGATTCAATTAATTGATCTTATGTGAAGATTCAATCTCTGTGTTCGGGTTTCATATTCACTTGTTTATCTTAATCTTTTCTCATTTTATTAACTAATTTTCCACTGATTTTTTAGCACTAAGCAGGTTAACTTTGTAAAAAGTTTTTTGCATATTTCAGCTAACTTTGTGCAGGTTTTTGTGCAGGAATTTGTAAGGAGTTTTCAGCATAATTGTACACAAGTCCCTGTTTTCTTGCTACTTCTACCGCCGCATATATCTGGACAATCTCGGGTAGGTTTTTTTGCACTTTTTGACATGATTTTCCTACATATAACTTGTATAACTTTTCTATTTTTTAGAAAGTTATGTTCCTGCATGTTTTTCCAGCATATTTGTGTTAACTTGGGGCATTTTTTGTGCATTTTTTGGCATGATTCTTCAACAAAAGTGTGCATGTTTGTCTCTTATCTTGGTAGTTTTTCCAGCATCTTTCTGCAAAAATTTGGGCAGGTTTTGTTGCTCTTTTTTGCTTCATTTTGCTGCATACATGAAATCAGATATACTTTCTAAAAGTATATGATGCAATCTGCATATCAATCTTATCGCATATCATCAATATCTCTTTCTTGATAATCATTGATTGGGCTATTTTAGAACCTTATGTTATATCACAAGTTCTCACTTGCTTAGTGACAACATAAGTTCAAGGGATACAATTATGAATAAAACATTGACAATCGAAGTGTTTAATCATCAATGTGTAATACCATATATATCAAATAAATAAAGTAAATATGATCAAGTACATATATCTCCATGAAAATGATTGTTGCTAGGACATATATACTAACACATACATTCTTATAATTTTTGGAGAAATTTTTTGTTGCTTTGCCTTCTCTAGGGTGGGAGGAGAAGAGCATGTCAAGGATGTAACAAAGGTTATGGTAACTGCCTTTTCAAATGCTATTGCAGTTTTCCATCTAGGATACACACATATATATATATATATGTTTGATATCTCGAGTTAGTACAAAGGATTGTAAGACAACAATTAGGAAAATGACATATCATCTTCCTATTATTAATAAAATAAATACGTAATAAATGTTTAATGAGCTAAATATATAGGCCCAATATCTTAATTAAATACATAAATAAAAGTTTAACTAAT